GCAATGCCCCTTCTCACGGAAGTCTTTCAGCACGCACTGGACCAAGTGAGCCTTCAGCCGGCGAGCGTGCTCTTCGGTGTGCGTCAACCCCAAATAGGGGATGCGCCTGTTTGGCTGCAAGGCAAGGTGGCCAACCATGCCGTCCGCCGCCGTCAAATCAACGATGAGCCCAACTGACTTGCCGAGGATGTGGAGGACCTCCGCGAACAGACCCTCCCCTTGGCTGTGGTAGTACACCGGCTCCTTGTCTGTCAACTCCCGCTTGCGGACGCGGCTCGGTGCACGAGTGGCCCCGCCAACTGCGACTCGAGCGGGACCAAAGATGCCTTTCTTGGTGGCGAAGTCTTCTGTCCACATCTCCTCGAAGGAGGGAACGACGACGGGCAGGATCCTGTTGCCGCACGTGGTGCCAGGGTACTTCAGCCTGTTCCTTTTTTGGACTTGCAACAGGCTGTGGGTGATCAGGTAAATGGTCTCGTCCTGGTCCAATGTTGCAATGCCGCGAGTGAGCTCCCGTCGCCCACTCAAGCTTTCCTCATCGTAGCCGACGCCCACACGGATCACAGACTTGGCCAGCGGCTTCGCCTTGACCTTCTTGGCGCGGCCACCGTCCGCCGCATCATCCTCGTCCGGCTGATCCGTACAGTAGTCTGTCGAGAACGCGGACATGATGCTGCTCTCGAGGCCTTGTTTTACAAACTGTTACGCATGTTATGCAGAAGAAAACAGTCAACAATCCCTCACAGGACCATGCCAAGGGACCCCCTTTGCCGGCATCAAAGATGACAAAGACAACATCATCAGCAACATGGTCCTTGGAGTCCTTGGAGCCGCTGGCTTGCAAGCAGCCACTGATCAAGCTGCGGAAGTGATCGGATCTCATGGGCAGCTTCCTCACTCGGGGCTGCGTGACAGACTCCCCGCACAGAGCTACATTGTACCAGAAAACCGTGAGGGGTGATTCAGGCTTTCTATTGACGGCCATTGTCTGCCGGATCAGCGCGGTCAATTGCGAGACTTTGTCCGGCTCCGGCACCAATGAGATCTTGTTCACGAAGTCCTCAGCCTGCTGCCTGTAGATCTCGAACTCCTCCAGCAAACCCTCGTCCAGCTCAGCATCCGACTCCAACTCCACGAAGCTGCTCACCAAGCCCCGCTGGTCCTTCATCTCGAGCGCAGCTTCCTGAGGGACATCGACTTCCTCCATGTCCTGATCCTCCTCCTTCTCCTTCGACTTGGCCGCCTTCTTTTCGATGGCCAGGTCCTCGTCGATCTGCTTCAGGATGTCGTCGAATTTCGTGTGGTCAAGCCACTCTTCAGGCTTCTTGCTTGATTTGAGGGCGTAACGGAGAGCACCGTCATGGACCTTCAAGTAGACGACGTCTTCAATGAAGCGTGCAGCCTGCGAGGCCGCTGGCGACCACGTCATGGTCCAGGATCGGCTGTTGCTGATGCTGTCAGTGATGGGGACCCACTTGCGGAAGCTTTTGTGGTTCTCGTACACCTGGCGCAACATCTGGACAACCGGTCCTGGGAAAGACTTCTCTGGGAGCCAAGTGTTCAGGAAGTACTCCTTGAGCTCTCGCTTGGCTAGGAAGACGTCCAGCCACCCTTTCCGCATCCGGTCTCCCTTGAGGTCTGCGGAGTTGAAGATAGAGGCCAAGTACTGCCTGGAGGTCACCCCATCCATGATGCAGCGGATGGCCCAGACGGAGTGCTCCTTGCACTTGGTGATGATTTCTGTGAGCTTAGAAATCTGATTGAAGGGCGAGTCAGGCCCCCACCGCTCCTCGCATTCCTCGAGCAAAGTAGGCAGCTCCTGGTTCCCGTCCGCGAAGATTTGGTTGTAGAGGTAGATCGCGCTGCCCACGAATGTCTTTGACATGGCATCCCCCTCCTTGCTGGGCACCGCCAGGTTCACGTGCTCGCGGATGTAGTCGGCCAGCTGCTCATCGCTCATGCTGCCTTGGCGTTTCTCCACGTCCTCCTTGACGGAGACAATGGTGAAGATCCACTGCCTCGTGGTCCTGGCCATCGCTTTGCGGTCTGTCACGAGGTGCTCACGGAGGTCCATGCACGCCGTGATCACCTCCTCCTCGGAAGGCATCAATCTGAAGTGCACGCTGACAGTGCGAAGCGTGGCCGCCCATCTCTGCAGCATCTCCTCCTCCTCGCCCCGGTCAATGGCCTCAGCGATCCTCTCGAACAAGGCCGCCCGCATCTCTGGAGGCGAGATGCACTGCAAGTCGCCGCGGGAATTGCGGGGATCCTCAACACCATTCGGAAGCGCAACCTCCAGCAATCCGGGGAACAACCCCGGCCCTTCGAAATAGTAGTCTTTGAGCATGCTGACAGAGCTCATGCGCAGAGGCACCGAGGGCATCGGATTGTATGTCCAGGAGAGCATCATGAGGTTGAAGCCACACTTGTAACTGCCGCGCTCCTTCATGGCGGTCTTGAAAGAGGGCATATCGACCACGGCCTCCACACCGGACAGGTGGCGTTGGTTTTGAGCAATGGGCAAAGCGTCCATAGTCTTGATGCCTTGGAAGGCAGGATGGCCAATGATCTTCTCGTAGTTGGCCTGCATCTGGGCGTAGAAGGCCGTGTTGATGCTGGGCGCCGAGGGCAAGAGGCTTGTTGGCACGCTTCCCCATGTCTCGAAGTCGGATGAAACAAGGGGGGGCTACGTGAGTGCACAAAAAAGTCGGACTGCACAGTCGACATTTGGACAAAAGTGGCAGGCAACAACTTGGTTCAATCACATGACTGCCAGAGGACAAGACTCTTCTCGGTCCCTGACCTTCTAGACGCTCTGTCGCAACTAATTATTTCTCACTGACATCACAGCAGAAACTGATCCGTGCACCTCTGCGCATTGTCCGCGGACTGCACCTCCGCCTTGGCGGCCGCCGCACGTAGTCCTCAGTGCTTAGGCTTCGTGAGTTGGTCTGCCTATCCTGAGATGAAAGCGTTATCGCAAGGTTAGGCCGAGCTGATGGCTGCACCCCATGCTCTCGTCAGGCAGGTGTACACCCCACTGACGAGGGACCCCAGACCTTTCAACCCTCTGCTCGATCTGGACGCCCCTCCCGGGAATCCGTAGCAGGATGCGCCGCGACCGTGGCGCATGCTTCACAAACCATCATTTGGGGCAAGGTCTCGCGAAGACGTAGTGTATTGACCAGGTGAGGGATCATTACGCAAACATGAAAGCGGAACAGCCCCTAGCAGGTATGGAAGCATTCCCAAGGTACCAGGAGGCATGAGACGTCATGAGCTTTAAACATGAATTGTGTGAACCCTCGAGGGGTGGGCCCCAGGATCACGAGCTTGAAACATGAATTGTGTGAACCCTCGATGGGGTGGGCCCCAGGATCGTGAGCTTGAAACATGAATTGTGTGAACCCTCGAGGGGTGGGCCCCAGGAGGCATGAGACATCAGCGTGAACCCTTGCTACCTGCTTTAGTCCAACATACAGCTCCTCCTGTTTGTTCTGATGTTTTTGTTGCTGGCTTGAGTCCTTGGCCACCTTCGAAAGAACATAGGAGCGGGAGCTGGAGCCTTCCCTGAAGTTGCCTACTGGCCCGAAGCAGGAGGATCTTGGGGAGTGGTGCCGCTTGAAGGTTCGATCTTCCGAAAGCCGGAACAAGCAGGAAATCCGGATATTTAAAATGATTCATAAACATCATCAGGGTTGAGGGTTTAGGGTTGGGGTAAGTAGACTATGCCCCCTCAACCCTTAACCTTGTGGAGGCTTCTCTGCTCTTTCATGGTACGCCCTGGTGCTGTGCCCGGCTCGCTGGTGTAACCCCCATAGCTCTGAGATGCTGCCTGGGCCCCCGGCCCACGGTGCTCGCAATGACGAACGGTGGACTCCTCCGCTTGCTTAACAATCCCTTTAATCCTCCCCTACGTAATCCCTCATATAAGCCCCCCCTTTATGAATTTTAGACAATATTAAAATAGGTTGTATTATATGATACTATATTACAATACATTGCTCCTGCACAGGGGGAGCTTGGCCATGTGGAACCTCAAGGATGCTCTAAACCCTACATATAACATGTATGATCCTACATGAGCTTGTATATCGACCCATTTAAGGAGTTTAGATTATGGCCCACCTAGACCCTCGACCCTCCATGCAACCTTCAGACGTCGAAGCCTCGCCTAAAGGAGCCTGAACCCCCACAATCCGTAAACCCCCCAATGCTGACCTGTAGTCCCTTAACCCCCAATGCCGAACCGTAGTCCCTTAGTCCCTCGACCCTCCATGCAACCTTCAAACGTTGAAGCCTCGCCTAATAAAGGCCTCGAGCCTGAAGCCCCACAATCCGTAAAACCCCCAACGCTGAACCGTAGACCCTCGACC